TCTTTCCACGGCATCGTCCCACTTTTCCCTCGATGATAAGCAAATTAAAGGTTCGCTCGAAACGCATCGATGCGTTTTAGCCGAGTCTTAGCAGGGAAAGTAATTAATATTAACTCGCGAATAACTGTATTTACCAACAATTTCACACCATGATCAGAGTCATGCCATGATTAAAACAAACTATTTCTCCATCTTCTTAAACGCTTATAATTTATCTCCTCCAAGAATAACGATGACAATCGAACCTTGTTCATCCATATTCATTTTTCGTGAAAATTACGTGGAAAAACGAGAATATAAATAAAAAAGAAGGAATGGAGGAGGGGGAAAAAAAAAGACAGGAGATAATTACATACTCGCGGAAACCCAACGTTCCGTGTAGTTGCAATGGTTCCGATCACGGGATTGACACCGTTTACAGCGTATCGATATTGGCTCGGCCGCTATTTTTAGTGGGCCGTATCGTATTCTAACGATGCAAACCGCAAACGTGACCGAGTTATGCGACGTTGAGAGTCCCTTCTACGTAGAAACGAAGCGTGCACACGGCTACGTGACAAGCTCACACGCGGCCCATTACGATATACACTTATCAGTCAACAATGTCCGATCGGAGCCGTGTGTACTGTCAATCGTTCGAGTTCGACGGTCGTCGATTATCCGATCCTCTTTTGGAATCGTTCCAGGAAACGATCGTGTTCCCCCATCGCAAGACTCGTGTCGAGTTCTCATTCTTGTCGAATCAACGTTTCGATGGTTCGGCGCGTGTCGTTCGAAGCGTGTGGATTCGGCCGTTTTGACGGATCTATCTTTTTTTTCGCGCGAATCGTTCGAAAGAAGTATTGATACGAGGCGCGCGTGGGCGTCCCAGTTCGCCGAGGTTGCGGATAATATAACGTTCCATGTTTGCGATCTTGTTTCGAAGCGGTGCGGAGTAAATAATATCGTTTACGATATTGTTTTCCAGTTGTCTCTAGATGGATTGGGGGAAAAAGTAGGTGGTGCCGTTATCACGGGCTTAAGCGATTCAGATATCGGATAGGAAATAGGCAAGGTTGTTGTGCACAGGTCGCTGATTCACGTTTCGCGAAATGGTGGGCGGAAATCAGGTCGAGGGAAATATATACTTTATTTTTATTGATGCAATGTTCATGGATGCGCGTACATGTTTCAAAATATTAGACAATCGTTCGCCCATGAGAATATTCGTTTTTGAAGGTTACATCATATTCCTGTAAAGAATTTATATACTTTTCGCCATTGCGTCACCTCGCCTAGTTATATTTAGAGTATGCCGAGTGGTATCTACCGCGATCTTTTAGGATCTTAGCTAGCCGAAGGTTAGGAAAATATATGACGGTGATTACGAGACACATTCTTTGTTCTTCAACTTCGATCGTGAAACGAAACGCGGCTCGAGACTATTTCCTCGCTTATCACACGTGTGCTCGGCGAAGGAACCGAAACCCGTGCGCGCACTCGTGATTTATAGAAACAATATTTGTGCCCGACATGCGACGAGCAGATACTTGCAAACGTAATGTAGAAC